CTGGGACTATGTTTCCAAATGGATACATCCGGCCGGAAAGGGATATACAAAAGCTGTTGAATATGGCTATGAGAAAGAAAATATATTTGTACTATCGTTAGGTACAGGTGATTATATACAAAAGCCATCACCTGTCAATGCTCACTGGGACCTTATACATTATATGACACATCATGATGCCATAGTAAAAGTTCTTCTTGATAGTCAACAACATAATGTAGATTATCATATGAGTACTTTGATGAATGATAATCATTATTATCGTTGGCAAGCATGGTTTGAAGAATCAATTAAATTAGATAGCTGTGAACCAGATATATTGGAAAACTTGGAAAATATAGCATATGAATATTGGGAAGAAATGGAATTATATGATAATAATAGATTAAACAGATTGATTGAACGTTTACGATATGAATAAATTAATACTAAGAAGAGCAAAGTAATTATATACCATGCAAATACCCAATAATGGAATTTTTTTATAGCTCTTACTATAAAATACAGAGTGGCCTCAAAGTCACTGTACCGAGAAAAAAATGAGTATCTTCGTTACGGCTTGAGCAAACGACCTGATTTCTTTTACTAATAATAGAGATATGTTCACACTTCAAATCTATACAGACAAGGTTTGAGAAAACCATTGTTAGGTGCCACTATTGACTCCAACAAAAAAATTTTACTTTTTCACATATAGGAAAAACAATGTACGATGAAGGAGAGCCAGCTTTTCACGATAATACATAAATGCAGACTCATATTCCTATTTTCTTATCAAATGCATGTCATACTTCTTTATTGATATTAAAGAAAGAATACTGGTATACAATGATCGACAATACTTTAACGTAATTGTTCAAATTGTTTGCATGCTGCGTTCATATACATCTGATAACGATCATTGGCAGAATGATAGATTACGTGGTATAATTCGATATTATCATGGGACGATGCAAACTTTTGTTTAATGAAGGACTTCAGATGGTTTATATCATGAAGATTTTGCGCATAGACATGATCTTTCACAATTCCCCATTGTGAAGGGTGTGGGTGTGAGTGTGGGTGTGGGTGTGGGTGTGAGTGTGAGTGTGGGTGTGAGTGTGGGTGGGTGGGAGTGGGTGTGGGTGTGTGTAGTGTCTCACTTCCACACCCACCCACATCCACCACCCACACCCACACCCTTGCCCAGGTAAAGCCTAAGTATTTAAAAGTATTCACGATCTCTAACTTTTCTCCTTGCATATAGACATCTATTTTCGGTTGTTCTATTTGAGTATAGAATATCTGTCCCAGTCTTCTATACGTTGATGGGTTGCTTCCAATTCCTCGCGTTTTCTGCTATCCTACTACAAACCTTCGAACTATCTTTTCCGAGAAAGTCCAACGTTGCTGACAATTTTTTCGTGATAGGGGTCTTTACCAATATGCCCAAATCGTCTGCATAGATGTGTCCTGAGTGTGCACCCGCACATAGTATTAAATCGCTATGATAAACGATAAAAAGGTAGCGACTAATGCTGCTTCCTTGTGGTAACCCAATATCAATGTGGAAACTATCCGACTTTTCGTTCCCAAACATAATGTAAGCTTGACGATTCTTTAACCATGACAGAATCATTTTAAGCGGTTTCGTGGGCATTCCTAGTCTACGTAGCTTTACTATCAGTTCGACATGTCACACAGTGTCGTAAGCCTTTTTAAAATCTATATACAAATGAAACAATTATAAATAGTTTTGCGTGAATTCGTTAAATACTAATGCAAACTCATCATCACACACTCAAAAGGATCTATAAATGCTTGAACTTAGTCAAACATGATCACTAATGATTTGATTGCTTCAACGCTTCTCTTGCGTTTTTATCTCTGGAATATCATTTTATTCAAGGATACAAAGAACAGACTAACCGAAGCGCGAGACAAGAACGAAAAGTCTATTGATATTGTTCACAATCGGGCAATACGAAGGGATTGGATTGACACCGAGCCAACCTGTCCAATCAGGTGTTTCAAGTTGATTTGGAACGTGAAAATGCTGATTGATTAGGTTAAACAATTGGTTAATATTGTTTACAATTGGAGCATATGAAGGAATTGGATTTGTACCGATCCAACCATTCCAGTCTGGCGTATAATGTGTGTGGAATGTCTGATTTATAATATTAAAAAGACGATTAATATTGTTCACTATAGGACCATAGTTAGGAATCGGATTGAGACCTATCCACCCATACCAGTCTGGTGAATAACATTTAGTTTCTCGTGCCATAATATATAGTATTAGTGCGTAGGATTCTTCTTGAATTTGACTGAATCGTCTAAAGAAAATGCTTTTTTCATGATATTTATTTTGAAGATGCGCATGTTTGCGTAACGAATATTTTTGCTCTCAAAAGAGCTCATATCTGTGCGGAACAACCCTGCATGTCCATCATATACATTTGGAAACACTGCAGGAATATATCGTTGCCTGCAACAATATTTATAAGACTCTTCCAGCTAAAACACACTACTACGTCAAAAAATACCTAGAAAATTAGGTATGAGTCTGAACAGAATCCTATTGAAACTTTCCAATTGAACTACCCTGATGGATATGAGAGATAGCTTGCAAAATAGGTAAAGTATGACCTAAACGGCGAGCACATATTGTGAATGAAGTGACCACTCATTTTCTCTATGTCCTATCACATAGAGTTCTGACGAGACGAATAGTGTTACACATCCTGAATTTTGGAGGAGTGCTCACATCTCTCGCTGGAGATGCGGCACCTTCTGCGGGAGACGCCGCATCAACACTTGGGACATGTGACATTGCTGATCATTCTCTAGAAATCCCAAAAAGAAAAGAGGAGCACTATGAAAGAAGATCGATTGAGTCATGCTTACTTATTTGACTTATTTGCAAATTACTTGTTATTCTGCCTTTTTGCGTATCTGTTGTTAATGGCTTGTTTCGTCGGAGTGAATGTAACAATGTACAGCATACACACTGCACCATGGTTTATATACGAAGTTAAATAATTTTTTTTCATTTGGGTTGTGAAAGACTGACAAACAAAGTCATTACTCAAACTTGATAAGAAATATTCCTTTTATTCCCTACTGATAATAATATTATTTATCTTTAAAGGATGTCTTCTAATTTTATAACTGATAGCAGAAAAAAATCCATGTATACATCGGAGACAATGTTACGCAATACAGAGAAGAGGGTGAGGGTAAGGCTAAGGATTCAACAAAGACCCTCATCCACACCCTCACCCTCAAGACTTTGACTTCCTGTAGAATTCGTGTACGCTGATAGACTGAGTCGTAGCTCAATCGACCTTGAAGATCAGCATCCAGTTTTCGATTGGAACTATGAACGCGTGCTTCCCATTGATTAGGAGTTGTACATGGACGCAGTACTTGAGCAATGACAACACTAATGAGACGAGACGTGTCCAAGTTCCGTGAATTCTGAACTCTTGAGGAATTCGGAACTCAAACATCAATAAAAAATATAATTATCAACAAGCACAGCTAAACAGAAATCACGGAATCCACGGAACTCACAGAACTCACTGAACTCACAAAATTTAAGGAATTCAAGGATTGCAAGGTGTTCGCAGAGTCCAAGAATCTCAGGGAACCAACTCGATTTACGAAATGCAAGTCCGTTATGAACTTAGACCATGAAAGAATCCAAAGTACCTAAGAAACTCTTAATACATAGCAGTAGTCGAGCTCTTCCCATGTAAAAAAAAGTCGTAAAAAATCAAGATTTTAATCAATTTTTTTTGATTAAAAATCGATTAAAATGAGACGATTTTCATCGGATTTTAATCAAATTAAAAATCAAAAAACAACTGATTTTAATCGATTTTTTACAGAATAATCCATTAAAATCAATTTTATTTTGGTTTTTAATTTGATTAAAATCAGATGAAAATCGTCTCTTTTTAATCGATTTTTAATCAAGAAGAAAAGATTTTAATCGATTTTCTACAGAATAAATTATTAGAATCAATTTTATTTTGATTTTTAATTTGATGGAAATCTGATGAAAATCGTCCGATTATAATCATCGTTAATTTCTTCGCATCTATTAACTGTGCTCATATGACTCTTCACTTTTTATCTGCGTGCATTACTTCAACTGAATCATCCATTTAAATCTCTCATTACCTGTTAATCGATTTTAATCTCTCATCACCTATTAATCGATTTTAATCCCTCATCATTTGTTAATCGGTTTTAATCTATTATTACTTACTAATTGATTTTAATCTATTATTACTTACTCACTGATTTTAATCGATTTTCTTATGAAACCGCGAAAATTTGCGACTTACTCGAGATTCGAACACAAAACCCATATTTTTCGACCACTTCTTCTTACTTCTCGTATTTAGAAACTATGAAGTTGCCGATGCACCAAACTTCGGCATTCAAAGTATGTTTGGAAGTCCTATTTAAATTGTTTTCTTCGAAATTGCGCAATTACATTCAAAAATCGATTAAAATCGATTACAAAAAAAATAATTGATTATAATCAATTTTTTTCTATAAAAACTCAGCATTCATAGAAATATAATCGATTTTAATCGATTTTCTCTATGGGAAGATATTACCATTCATGCAGCTGTAATGGATTTTAATCAATTAAACTTAAATAATCGATTTTAATCAATTTTACATATGAAAAACAATCATATCCATAGAACTATAATCGATTTTAATCGATTAAAGTTATCTTTATAAAAAATCGATTAA